AAGTATTTTAATAGCATTTTTATTTTCAAGATGTACTCTGTTGTTGTACAGCCAATGTTTTTGGTAAACTGTAATTGTGATAATTTTTTTGTATGTTTTATGTGTGTCAGGATGTTAATTTAGAGTGCCAAATGCATGGTTGAATTGCTTTGTGAAACAAAACAAGTCCCTGAGAGTTGGTGGTGTTTTGTACTGTGGCGCGTTGCAGCCACCCCAGAGACACGGTCAAGTGGACATCTCAATGGGATTGTTCATTCCATGTGCAACTTTGCTTTTGCGTTAGAGATTATGTTGCTCCAAGATGCTGCCGCATGTAATTTGTGTAGGATACTGGTCTTTCTATAGTGTCGTAGCTCCTGTCAGACATAATCGCGCCACTTTACTGCCATGTGAATATTTAGTGAAATTATGTGTTACCTGGGCCTTGTCAGAAGCTGCTGTATTTTTTCAGCTTGTAACATCGGCACTGTTTCACTAAATAAAACCCCTTTCTGTAAAGGGCTGTGCTTTTGTTTCATGTGAGATACACATGAATGACAGTAAAAGGGTCTCAGCTAACACAGGTGCACATACTGTACAAACCCACACATATACACATGGGCACACACACACACACACACAGGTATGCACTTACAAACTCAGATACTTGCACTCACACAGCGCCACATGTACAAACTAACAGATTTACATACAATGGGGTCAACTCACCACTGGGATGCTGTTGTAGCCTTGAGACATGTATTTATGTAAACTAGAATTAGTTCCCAGTTGCTGTTCATGGTGAGATAAAGTAACCTTGCCTACCTACGATAGCTTGATTATTTTTTTTAGTTTTTAGGATGATAAAATAATTAACCTGCTGTGGAGCTGAACTTGCCATCTTGTGACCTCAGAGGTGGGAAGTGGACGTTCCTTTTGGAATTACTCTTGGTTGTTTCTCGTGAAACTACCCCCGCACACAAATACAAATACAGAGTACGCAGTGATGGACAATGTGTTATTTTTTCATGCTTTATTGAGTCTGAAATTAGTAATTTTTCTGCAAACTGTTACAATGGGCAGTATTGGTGACCACAGTCAGTGCTGTGGCCCTGTTCCCTGTACCTAGGAGAAGAGAAAAGTACAGCCATTGAAGCTATACAAAACGTAATCTTTATGCTACTGAAATTTACTCAAGATCGTAAGTCATTGTTATAATTGCACCATTACTGAATGATAATTATCGCCATAATAACCTGAGGCTGAGACCATTGCAACAACTGGCCACACCCCCATGATACAGCTCCGCCTCTGTCACCAGGGCCTCCTCTGCCCACCTGCATTGCCATGGTCCACTGCAGCCGGCACTGTGCAGGTGAGCTCGGTCAGCCTCGCGGCACCGCAGTCTGTGTCCATGTGGGTGTGCACGAGTCTGTGTGCGAGTGGGAGTGTGAATCTGTTTGAGTGCGTGTGAGTATGAGCACGGGTCAGTTGTGCGAGTCTGCACGAGTCTGAGTCTTTGAGCGCAAGTCCGTGGGTATGAACCCGAATGTGAGTGTGAGTCTGAGTATGAGTGTGTTAAGTCTGTGTGAGTCGGAGTGTGAGCATAAGTGTGTCTGAGCGTGAGTGTGTGTGTGTCTGTGAATGTAAGCATGACTATGAGAGCACAAGTCTGAGTGTGACTGTGTGTGAGCACAAGTGTGCAACTCGGTGTGAGCGCATGACTGGGTGAGTGTGAGACTGAGTGAGCATGAGTCTGTGAGTGCAAGTGTGGGTGAATGAGTGTGAGTCTTTGTGTGAGTAGAAGTCTGAGTGAGCGAGTGTCTATCTGTGCTCGTGTGAGATGCATGCAAGTGTGTCCAAGTACAAGTCTGAGGGCATGTGTGTGCAGGTCTGCATGCGTACAAGTCAGTGATTGCGAGTCTGAACATGTCTGTGTGAGACTGAGGGTGTCTTGAGTGCAAGGCTGTGTGAGCGCGAGTTCGTCTTTGTGTGAGCACAGGTGTTTGAGCGTGTGTGTGTGCATGCTACAAGTCTGAGTGTGAGTCTGAGTGTCAGCATGTCAGTGAGCCTGTGTGAGCGAGTCTGTGGGTGTGTGTGTGTGTAAGCGTGTCTGCAGCCCATAGGGGGGCAGCCTGCAGGTGACACAAGCAGTTCTCCTGCTGTGGTGTCACCCAGTTGAATGAAGGTGCCTCCAGGAAGCACATCAGAGCAAAAGCACTGTCCTCCCCCCTACTGCGCCGGCCCCAGGCTCATGGGTGGAATATTCACCCTGTCCTGTAGAGGGAGAGCAGGGTCAGTCACTCATGCATGTCTGTCTTGGGATAAGAGAGAAAGGGGGATGTGCAGATTCACGGACAGACAGGCCTCACCTGGTCGGAGCTGGAGTAAGTGATGTTATTGAAGCTCATTTCCGGAGTGTGGCTCGGTGCTGCCCCCTGGCGGTGACGCAGGTAGAAGACGAGCAGTACGGCCAGTGTGGCTAGGAGCAGGAGTAGGATGATGATGGACGCCACAACGCCGGCTGTGCTGTCAGGAGGCTCAGCTGTGCGGAGAGAGGGGGAGAGTGAGCGAATACAGCAGCAGACACAGGCAGGAGGGGGACACACCAAAGAGCAGGCTGGAATGTGGAAACTATCAGCAGTGAGAATCACCTCGTCTAACACCACTCAGAGGGCATGAGAAGGAGAGCAGTCTGACCTGAGGAGGGCGGGTCCGGCTGCTCTCCAGGGCAGTTCACCCCAGGGGTGTAGATGATGTCATCCAGGGCCTGCACTCCTGAGTGACCCTTGACCCCCTCAAACACAATCTGAGAAAGAATGCGCAAGAGAGCACATTAACATCACAGTCAACAAGACCACAGCGCATGCAGAAACTCAGTGCTTCATTTACTTAATTTCAATCTTTTTTTACTCCCATTTCATAAGGGGAACCCAATGTAATAGGTGTTTCTGAGATGGCCTTGAAGGCCAGAGTCATGGAAAAAAGCTATGGAGGTGGAGGTACAAACTGAGCATCACTACTGTCCTCTCACCTGGTACTCCCTCTCGCTTCTGATGAGGACATCATAGCGTGTCCACTGCTCGGCGCCCTCCACCCGAAAGAGCTCCACAGCCTCCCCCGCGGACAGCAAGACCACACGGAGCCGCCCCTCGGCTGCAACATACACAGAGTACGGCTGAGTGGGTGGGAGCTGCTCCCAGACAGGCCAGAGGACAGGTGTGCAGTCAGGGCCCAGGGAGAGGAGAGGGGAGAGGACAGGTGTGCAGTCAGGACCCAGGGAGAGGGGAGGACAGGTGTGAGTCAGGGCCCAGGGAGAGGACAGGTGTGGTTCTTACACAGGGGGTTCCGGTATGCCCAGAACCGGAGACAGGTGCCACGTGTTGGGGGCAGGTGTGGACTCAAGAGCCAGGCCTTCTGCCCTGCTGTCTCCCGGGGGCTGCTGGGCAGAAACAGGAAGTGACCTGCGGGGGCAGAGGGACTCCTTCAGAGAACAACTTCCAGGGCAGGGAGAGTGAGAAAGAAAAATAACTGCCAGCCTCCATCAGACTTTCACTGACTGCGAGTTGACAACTGATAGGCTTTCACAAGTGCTGCAGAATAACCATGACCTGGCAATCAGTACGGAGCTGTAGGCTAGATTTCATTTTAACAGGAGATGTAAGAATATGTTAACCCTTTATTACAGGTGCTGTAACATGACTAAACTGCGTGAGCCCCACGGTGCTGTAGGTCACTGTTAGGACTCATGAGCCTGACGCTCTGCACCTGCAGCACAAGACCTTTACAATCCTGCCAGCATTGGGCTCCGGCAGCCTGCAGTGTGGCTAACCCCCCAATCCTAAGAGTAAAAGTACAGTCACAGGGATGGGGTTACCGTGCACAGTGCCCAGGCTGTGGTCATGTGGGGGGGTGGGGTACTGCCTCTCCACCTCGGTGCTGGTCCAGTCCCAGTCCAGCTGGTCCAGCTTGGGGTTCTGGGTGTTAGTCCAGCTGCACATCCCCCTCTCAAAGTCACACACTGAGGCTGGAGGAGAAGGGCTGGGTTATTACACCGCTGAGGCAGGATGGACCCCACAGGCCAGACACAGCTGCCATCTTGTGCAGCCCTGGTGCCACAGGGTTCCTGTACAACAGTCCTATGAGAACGGTGTGAGAAAGGTCACGTGCCCTCTGCTGTCCCAGATCAGTGGATCTGGACCAATCCCGCCACCCGGTTTCTCACTCCCTCACACTCGCAGCCACACTCTGCTCACCTGGCTCTGGACAGCTGTGAGGACTGAAGGTGATGTCATCGATGGCGATGTGTGTGCCGACGCCCCCCGCGCCCTCGGCCTCGAACACCAGCTGGAATGCACATCAGTGTTAGCATTGTACTGGTCAGCGTTATTACTGTAGAGCAAACAGAATTGTCATGGGCAATGAGACGCTAATGGTGAAAATGATCTTCCTCTCCGACTCCTTGGCTCCTGTGATTTCACTGCTGCTCCTGCTGTAGTGAAACTCCATCCTCAGCTCCAGAAGAGCTGGACAGGTGAGCCCAGCTCCAGCCTGATCTTGTCAGGACTCAGGGACACAGCCCGGGAGACCTCTAGGGAAAACCAGGCAGCCACTGTAAGTGGTGTTGGGGACCTTTTCCATACCGGTGTCCCTGTACAGTGAAAGGAGACACTGCAGGCTGTGGGAGGTGCCAATACTGCAGCTGATACTGTTACAGCTTTTCCTGACTGAGAAGTGTCTCTTAGATTTTAGATAATGTTTGTGACACTGGGCATTGTAAACGCTTCTAGCTTCAACCAGAGAGGATGTTTGTTGAGATGTGGGGGGTCCCCTGAGCAAATAAAATTGCAAAGTTTATAGCTTGGTTAACCTAGGTAAAGTTGTGGGGGTTACTGATGGTCAATGAGTAGAACAGAAACACACAATACAAGATCACATTAAGAGCACAAGGACAAAAAGAAGCAGGGAAGAAGGAGGAGAGGACAGGAGAGGAGACGAGTCCAGAGGAGTTGCACCAGGCGAGAGCTCCTATTCCTACAAAACCTGACTAGAGCGAAGTATTTGAACATTAGAGAAAGTTTGCTATTCTGTGTTTTTAAGGATCTTGTATTTCCTGGGTAAAAGATACCTGCATAGGGTGCATTTTCTAGAACAGGGAGATGGGCTCCCATTTATTTGGGGTGCACAGAGACAGATTAGACTGCAGGTTGTATCGCATTTATTTAGAAAGGCGGCTTCTCTCTTAATGCCCACAGAGGCCAAATAAGAGTTTCATACTTTATCAGAAGCTGGTGGGATTTCTCTTATTAGAACGTTAGGCCTCCGAAATGCCTTGTCTGTAAATACTGTCTATAGAGTAACTTGTGTGTCGTACGTTTTGTTGTGTGTAGTGTAGTTTGTGTCTTGTCGTTGTAATAAATATATGTCTAAGTTTGCCTGGATTATTACTCCTCTCATCAAAGCTCTGGCAGAGAACAAAAAATTCATGTCTCTAATTACACCAACCGTTAAAAGTATATTCTGAAGAAATCATTTAAAAATTAGGGTTATGAAAAATTATTTTACTTAGACTTAACTGCTTGGTCAAATCCTGCTTTTCACCATTTTTGTAACGGTATGTTAAACCGAGGTCCTGACTAGCTGACAATTAAAGATCCCAAAGCACTGTAAGTGCAGGGGAGTTAACCTTGGCCTCCTGGTTAAATGCTACAATAAATCTGCATAATCTGACTTCCCTAAACTTCCCCCTCCCTCAATCAGTGAAGCAATTTCTCAGTCCTCCCCAGATCTGCTCTATAATGGGGGCTGCAGGTGCAGAATGGCTTCCCCACATCACAGTGCTGCACTGCAGGGG